ACATTATATTCATTGCATACATATACTTCATAGTAGACATCCTTAACGCCTTTCTGCTGTCTGTTGTTCGTGTTTCTTTGTTTGAATATGGCGCTTATCACATGCTGTGTGGTATCGGCGTTTGGTATCGGGGCATTTTAACGAGTACGAGTACATGAGCTCGGTATCGGTGCATCCCTAGTTATTTTAGTACATCAGGTTAAACTAAATGAAGAAGATGATAAATCAACTAACTGAAATAAAATACGTTTGCATTTTATATAGAAGAACTGCAGTATTAATAATAGGTAAGAACTTTATTGTCACTGTACATGTACAATGAAACTCTGGTGGAGCTACCTCCAGGTGCATTCTTGATACATACAAATAAGTAATGTGCCATGTATATATGATATGATACACTAAAGACTCCGCTTACGGCTCTAGCACGTTTTATTTCTGTGTCTCGGCGCAGGTGTGACGTCATCAGGGCGCGTCGCAGTGACGACTGCAGCTCGAGGAATCCTCGTGCGTTGTTTTATCTTCGTAAATCTGTACGAATAAAGCATGAGCTCTCAAATAACGTGTGTCGGATGGGTGAAGCGCGGAGTCGCCAAAGAAACGCCGGATAAAGTGAGTCTGTCACGTTATTGTGTTTATATCATGTTTCTGTGGAATCGCACACGTGTTTGGGCTTTAACTAGAATGAAATCATCGTTACAGGTTGAGTTGAGCAAAGAAGAGCTGCAACGCATCATATCGGAGACTAAAGAGGAGCTAGGGTGAGATTTGAATTGCTCACTACTGTTTTATAGCAGACACGAGTTAAAACGCCTTAGATTTTAAAGCTGGTTATCAGTAAAAACAATAATATCGCCAGTCTTGAACCAGTTGAGACCAGCCCATCTAGTGTGATCATGTCTGTAGGTTAATTTTATTAAACTTCTGTCTGATTTATCCAGGGATCCTGGTGATGGTGAGGAGGAGGAGGTTGATGAAGGTGTGGTCAGTGGCCTGGATGTCAGTGAAGAGGCAGCTGTTCCGTCTGCTAGTGAAGAAATAAAAGAGGAGAAAGATGAGGAAGAGGTTGATGAGCTTGCAGAGTATGGACTGGACAATTATGATGAAGAAGACATCGGTATGTCATCCCCAATTGATTGATGATCTGGCTTCAACTCGTGGTGTGTTTACATTTTTGAACCTTAAAGGGGTCATATGATGCGATTTCAAGTTTTCCTTTCTCTTTGGAGTGTTACAAGCTCTTGGTGCATAAAGAAGATCTGTAAAGTTGCAAAGACTAAAGTCTCAAATCTAAAGAGATATTCTTTATAAAAGTTAAGAGTCAACCACGCCTACCTAAATCGGCTCGTTCTAACACGCCCCCACATATCTACCTCACTATGTGGAAATATTAGCATAATGCCGCCCAAATGTGCACGCAAAGAAAGACGCATTTTATGGACGACTGTTTTTTGAACCTAGAAGAGTACAAGGCTGGCTGTGCACAAAAGCTATTTCTAAAAAAAAAACAAAGGGT